AAAGAGGAAGCATCTCTGATGGCAAGAAGGGGACAGTAAGATCACGAAAGTAAAAACATGTGGAGAAGATGGGGCCAGGCACTACGAATGCAGACCGGGAAGAAGGCCTTAGAGTCGAAGAGACATGTAAGCTCTGGTTCACTGAAGGGCCTTCCTACCTAACCATTCCAGCCACCTGTCAGTAGGTAAGGAGGAAAGTGCTGGGTGAAGCTGAAGGAGCTTAAGTGACTGTGCTACCCGCCCCAGAACAGCAGCACAAGGGCCACTTCCTGCATCCTGGAAGAAGAGCTTTGAGGGCAGGTATCCCAGGGAAGGGCAGTGGTGCTGAATAATCCCCAGCCCAGAGGTAGAAGGCCCTGAGAGGTGAGGCGGATGAGCCACCCAAGGTCATAAACATCAACAAAAGGAAATCACAGAAGTGAGCTTAGAAGTGACTGACTGCCAAGCAGCAGGTGCCCAGCCAGAGCTCCTCTGGAGGAGGTCGCTGACACTGGGGAGGTCTGGGTAGAGTGGGCTGGGGCTGTCTAGGGCAGCTGCAGTGACCATGGGAAGCAGAATCCAGACCGCAGAGGCAACCGTGGCAGCCCAGGCCAATGCTGGAGCCCTCTCAGTCACCCCCCAGGTCTATCAGAAACTAGAGGTTCAAAATATCCTGGGAAGGGAAAGACTGAAATCTCCCAGCTCAGTGTATGAGACCTAGCGCAGGAAAAATATTTAACTGATGAATTCTGGGGACATTCTCTGTATTTGTATTTATGGAGGCCATTACTGTACAAAATGAATTTCAGGTATTAAAAACTTTAGAAATCAAGAAAAACTGCTAACAAATGTTTAATTTTGAAAATTAACCCAAAGTATATAAAGTTTCCATCCCAGGAAACGTATTTATTTTTAAATATTGCCAGTTGGACTTCCTTGTTTTTAAACACATCACCTGCACTCATTACAACAGCACAGATGAGTCCCCGAAGTCCCAAGAATAAATTCTGCCTCCATTTAAAATCCCAGGGCATTGTCCCAGCTTCAGGTGCTCAGCCCACATAAAGATGTGTTTCCAATGGCTCTGTAAGAGACCTGTGTCCAGGGAAGATGAGGAGCCAGAGTGACCATTTGGAGACTAAATTTCCAGCATGGGGCCCCATTAGGGATGTACCCTAGAACCAAATAGTCTTAAGTCAGTGAGCTTCTTCCAGGATCAAATCAAATGGACCTGCCACCTCCAGGCTACCCAAGCTATTAATGCACCATGACAGCCAAAGTTAACTGCTTTCTACTCCAGCTCAGTGCCAAAGCCTGAGTAGAAATAATCCTTTTATCTCCCGATAAAGGAGAATTACTGGCATTTTGTAGCTCAGCTCTCTTTGAAGAGCCATCGTTAGAAGCTGGAGGCTTTGCATTTCCTGGAGTGGTCAGATTAAAGATGCTTTTCACTGATCTCAGGGCAGGTAGTTGATTATATTGTCACCCAGTTGCCCTGTGGGAAGCACTGTGACTTTCTGTTTTAAACAGATTTCAAAGTACAAATGTCATTCTCAGAAACTTTTCTGAAAGACCAACTAAGTCTTTAGAGCAGTACTGTTTAGGGCCCAGCTGTTATCAAGGACCAGCAAGTGAGGACGCTTGGAAAGGATATAATTTGATCTGCTGTCTTCTTTGCTTGCCTCCCACAGGTATAATCCCACCCTGATAACTCTGCTGTGTATAATTTCCATATAGATAACAACCTTGTATAATAGACGATCTCATGCAGTCATATTTTTATTCACTTTTATAAAGACAGTTAGTTCATAGTCCCCTAAAATACTGTTAAAACTTCATTCACCCCAACTGATAAAGCAAGCAAAATCCCTAGCATGTGACTTGGTACTTTGAATACTTTATTTGATTTTATTCCTGAGAGTGTGATTTTCTACACCTCATTTTTTTAGTAGGGAAACTGAAGCTGGGAACTTTACTAATTCACCTAAGTTTATATAGGTGGTAGTTGGTAGAGCTGGAGGATGTATTCCAGTCTAATCCTGGAGCCCGTATCCTTCCCAAGATGCCATCTTAGAATCAGGGTTTATCCCACTTGGCACCTTTGGCATTTTGGAGGATTCTTTTTCTTAGAGGACTGTCCTATTCATGGAAGAATGTTTAGCAGCAGTCCTGGACTCTGCTCACTAAATGCCAGTAGTTCACACACACACACACAATTGTGACAACCAAAAATACGTCCAGGCCAAGCATGATGCTATAATCCCAGTGCTTTGGGAGGCCAAGGCAGGAGGATAACTTGAACCCAGGAGTTTAAGGTTCCAGTGAATTATGATCACACCATAGCATTCCAACCCAGGTGACACCCTGCCTCTAAAACAGTGGTTTTTAACCAGTGGGTCACAACCCACAGGAACTGTGTTAAAGGGCTGCACCACTAGGAAGGTTGAGAACCACTGCTCTAAAAGAAATGTGTGCAGACATTGCCAAAAGTCCCCTGAAAAGCAAAATTACCCCTAATTTTAAAACATTGCTGTACATGCTTCTAAAGCATCAGCTTCCTTACAATGCTAATGTTTTGTGGACCTATGAAATGCATAGAATAATTTGAAGACCATAGTAGTGCTAAAGAGTGGACTTGCAGAATATTCATTGAGAAATATAAGTCAATTATAATTATTTTAGTTCTTTGCATTTTAAAAGCCCCTATTCCTATTATACCTGGTACTAGCTTGTTGTCTCCAATGAGTAATATTCACACTACAAAAATACTCAAAAGCTCTCATCACTTATTTCTGCTTCAAGGGTTTGGTTCAGACTCCTCACAAAGACATTCTAGGTCTTCCTAATTTGCTCTCAGTCCCTCAGTTCTCCTCTCCACCCTCAAATCCCACACACTTTTAGGCTCCACCCAAGCAAGATGACTCACTGTAGTTCAAACTCATCCTAAATTCTCTTTTTCCATGTCTAGCTGAGGATATTCCCTCTACCTCCCACTTCTCTCAGTCCCACGCCTACACCCCCGGCTTTGCCTTGGGCTCCTTCCCATGTTGTTAGAGCTTCCCCAGAATTCTCTGGGCCTCCCACGCAGCCTCCCCACACAGCAGTGGGAAAATGGGTTTCTCCTCTGTCCATAGTTGATTTGCATTTGTCTTAGTCTATTTTCTGCTGTTATAACAGAATACCTCAGACTGAGAATTTATAAACCAAAGAGATGTATTTGTTTCATGGTTCTAGAGGCTGGGAAGTTCAAAAGCATGGCCTACCAGGAGAGGGTCATCCCAGGAGAAGAGGGAAGGCAAAAGTGAACATGTGAACCAGAGTCAAAGTCAGGCCAAACTCATCCTTTGTGTCAGAAGCTCACTCCTCCAATAACAGCATTAATCCATTCATAAGGGCAGAGACATGGCCTAACACCTCTTAAAGACCTACCCTCACAACACCATTGCAATGACAAGCAAATTTCCACATGAGTTTGGCAGGGGTATTGAAATCATAGCAACATCTCTCTCATCTTTCCTGTCTCACCCAGCCATGCAAAGAGTGTGTGATGGCTTAATAGGGGCATCCAAGCTGCAGCCTACAGGTTTCATGTAGATTTTGTAGAACTTTGTTTTGCTCATCTCTGGTGTCAGATATCACAAAAAGTATGCATGGAACTTTTTTGTTTTGCTCATGAACTTTCATTAGTGTTTGTGTATTTAATGTGTGGCCCAAGACAACTCTTATTCTTCTAATGTGTGGCAGAGAGAAAGAAAAAAAAGGTTGGACATGCCTGTACTAAAAGTTTTTGGAGAACAAGAACTCTTATTTCAGCTCTTCTATTCAGTCCTTATCTTTTAGCAGATGTGCTATGCTTGTTGGCTTGAGCTGATTGGAGATGAGATTGAAAGAACATTGTAAAGGTCAATTTCTGAACCAGTTGCTATGGGGATTAAAATACATTTCAAATATGAAAGCTGAATGATATAGAGTGGAGAACTGAGCATAGCCATGTGACTTTCTAGTGTGTACCTGCCCCACCCCATAAGGTTTAGATGTACTGGGTGGGCTTCTGACCTTGGCCTTCAATACAGTTTTGCCCTACACAACAGCTCCGGGGGTGGGGGGGGAAGGGCGGTACTTGGGGCTGCCATTCTTCCATGTGGGTGTGCTGTGGGTAGGTCCATCCAGAGGAAGACCCCCTTTTTTCTTATTTTCACAAAGGTACCAAATGGGCTAGCAGACGCCCTAATGATAAAAACTCTTCCACAGCGGCAAAAGGATACTGTGTCCAAAATTTTCATCCCCCAATCCATTTATCCACTCCTTTTATTAAGATTGATTACACTGAATTCTGCCTGTCCTAGTCAACCTTTGTTTTACAATTACTTTGTAACTAATCAGAGGTTAGTATTGACTGATTCATCCAACAAATATATATTCATCATTCAATACATTTTAGAAATAGAGAAAAGAAACCCACTTTTATATTCATCTCGCAAGTGTTTTACAGTCAGACAACACCAAACATATGATTAAATTTATATCTAGCCTCCTATTCGACACCTCTGGCTTGAGTTTTTCTTGGAATTTTTTGAGTTAGATGAATGCATTGGTCTGGGGCAACCATGCTAGGAAGCTGGCATTGCTCAGGTGCTAAAGCGACTACATAGGTATCTCAGCATAGCATGGGGGTCAGGAAGGAGCCCTCCACAGGGAGGGCCTCACACTCTGCTGTCATACGGTCTGATTCCAGCTGCAGCTGGTTTGGGCCATCCAATCAAGTGTCTTGAGAGAGTCTGGGTGTTCCACAGCATTTGCATGTGATAGTAAGCTACAAACTGAACATTTTTCAGCAGCCAGCCCAGAGCCATCTTTACTCTGAAAATTTCCACAGAGGGCTTTCTAGGAACAGGTGAATAGGATATAAATAGTCCTATTTGTATGCAAACTGTGGGTCTAACTGTTGATGTTCCTATTGGCAGAAACAAAATGTCCCATCTTGAGCCCTTCATTTTACCACTCCCCTGTTGTACTGACAGGTGGGAAACTGTGCACCAGCTACAACCGAGGGCTCATCTCAAAGGCAAAAATCAAGGCCATCAAGTATAGCATCGTCATCATTCTGGGTAAGGAATGTCTCCTTGTGTTGTGGAATTGAACGCAAACTTGCCCCTGGGACTTGGTGGCAGAAAGCCCATATAAGAGGACTTTTTCTACAGGCACTTCTACTTGTGTGTGAATGGAAAAGAACGTATGGAAGTTATCAGTCCATCTTTGACTCCTTCAAGTGCCAATATTCGGTTCCTAAGGACCCTTATTATGAGTACAGTTGCCATCAAAGCCATAGGTTGGATAATTTGGAGAAAGTCTGATCAGGACCTAACTAGCTGAAGCAAATGATCACCTGTCATTACCTTTAAGATACACTCGCCTCCAGGGCTGAAGTTCATGAGCAGAGCAAAGATAAAAGTGGCTTTCCATTTCTTCTGGATATTTAATTTCAGGATTACTACACATCCCTCCCTTACGGCCACCTTATTGTCCTTCCACCTTACTTTCTTCTGCTCTTAAGACCAATAAAGTCACCTTGCACCATTTCTCATCTGAAGTGCTCTGCTCACAGGTGGGTGGCCTGGCTTATTTCCTAGCCTCATTTGTTCACCAACAATGCCACCTCTCCAAGGCCTCCTTAACAAGCTTTTTAAAACAGCCCCTCTCTAGTTTTCACTGGGGACTTATTTTTCTTCATGGATCCTACTTCTACCTGACACTATAGGCTATGTATTAATTTTCTTATTGTCTATCCTCCCTACTGAAGTAATAAATTCATAAGGGCAATGATTTTGGCTTTTGTGTTACTTATGGTATTATCAAGGCCTAAAATTGGGTCCCCAAACACAATGTTCAGTTAATGTTTGTCAAATGAATGAATGCAAATATGTAAGAAGGAAAAGGATTTGCACTGTTTCCTTCTGATTTAGCTCCAATGCCCCCTCCGGCAGAACTGGAAGCTCCAAGAAAGCATAGCTCTTTTATTAGCTGCATGTCAGACTATGAGACCGTCCTTCTCACCTTTCTAAAATGCAACTGCAAAATGCCAAACAGACCACACACTGCGTGACTCAGTCAGCAGGATACAGGCACAAAACAACACTGCAGGAGGATAAAGCACAACCTACAAGGCTCAGTAACCTTTCTTAGAGGCTTCTGAAGTAGATCAAAGACCCCCTTGCTTTCCCAATCAGAATCACTGATGCACATTCCCTGGGATATGTATGCTTACAGGCATGTTCCAGAGCCAGCATAGCTCTTTTTGATCAGAAACCATTTTCCCAGGCCCTGTGGAATCTGTAAGCAGGGTGCCCATTAGCAAGTGCTAACAGCCTATCACACCAGAATGGCCCTTCCTACAGTAATACGTTATAATGCTAAAGGACGATCCTGAAATAAAAGACAGACATAGTACTATATGGTACCATCTACCATAATTTTTAGAATATCAATATACTGTCACAAAAATAATATAAGGGAGGATGCAAAAATAACCTATGGTAAAGCAATACCAATTTCAATATGCAAATTCTTCAGTATGGGTACACTAGAAGAATAATGAAGTAGTCAGATGCTTACACCCAGACACAGCAACAACCACAAATGCAAACAATACAGATGTGTTTTCATGGACACATCAAACATAAGCCGTCCTGATTGATTGAAAATCAGTGACTTGATTTTTCTGAGCAGACAAAAAGGAAGAAAAACAAAATTCCTGGTAAAGTTTCAAACTTAAGAAACGAATCTTTACTTACAAAGAAATTGCATTTCTGGGAAGTTCAGTATTTATTAAAAATATCTGTGTTTGTAAATAAAGCAGAATCAGGTTTCTAGAAGTAGGTAATTATAAACAGTGCTCCCCCCTACATGAACATCCAATTGGGCATTCAAAGAATGTACAAAAGACAAGACACATCTTTACTGTCTGGACTGCCTATGCCACACAGGAGGACTGGCATCTCCATGACAACCAGAATCTCACACACACACACACACACACACACACACACAAAAGCACGTAAGGCCATTTTGCCCCCTTGAAGCCCCAGAACCATTCTTGTGGGCCAATGTTGGAGTCCAGAGTCCAGAGTGTTCAGTGGTCTTTGTGTTTGAATTGCTCCCCTTTAACACACTGCCAAGGTCTGGCATGGGGGAGAACATGTCTCAGTCAGTTTCTCACTCTCAAACTCCCCAACAAGTTATAGAATCACCATTGAACAGTTGTGGAGGAAAGTTTGCCCCTGCATACAGGTGGCCAAAAAAGCCAGTCTCTTGCTCTGATAAAAAAAAGTCCTGCAGATGTGAAAGGGGAAGGAGAGGATGTGACAAGATAGTAGGAGATATGTGAGTATCCAGTCAACCCAAGAGTGGGTATTAGTCTGGGATCTCCAGATAAATAGGGGGATAGGGGCGAGAAAGAGAGAGTTACATGACTGCAGAGGCTGAGAAGTCCCCAGATCTGCAGTTGCCAAGCTGAGCACCCAGGAGAGCTGATGGTATAAGTTGTAGTCCAAATCCAGGAGAGTTGATGGTGTAAATTCTAGTTTAGTTTGAAGGCAGGAGAAGACCAATGTCCAAACTCTAAGATCAGCAAACAGAGAGCAAATCTTCTTTCACTCAGCCTTTTGGTTCTGTTCAGGCCTTTAACAGATTGCATGAGGCCCACCCACACTGGAAGGGAAATCTGCATTTCTTAGTCTACTGATTCAAATGTTAATTTCATCTAGCAATTTTCTGACACACATCCAGAACAATGTTTAACCAAAATCTGAACACCCTGCAGCCCAGTCAAGTTGATGCAAAAAAATCACACTGTGTAGCCCCACTTTCTATCCACTTCCTTGAGGATTTGGTGCCAAACAGAATCAGGGTCTCACATCAGTGGATTTGGAAATGAAAAAGAAAACTGAGAACATTATGATTTAACTGGATCATGCTTTGGAAACACTGGGATCACCCCTTTCTTCTGCCATACTCCCAAATAAAATGTCATTATCTGGTCAAAATGCTTGCCATTCTTCTTTCCCCAGACAGTCAGTCTCTAAAGGATTTGTCTTGTTTTTCTTCAGCCCTGGGTTGCATGAGAGGATACAGCCATATACATTCCCAGGCTCCTAATAAGGAGTCCACAATGATAGAAATTGGACCACCCCTCCACATATAGAGAAGCGTCAGAGTATTTACTCAGTTTTAGGAATATGCCTGTAGGATGTGTACGTGTGAATGTGTTTAAGTGCACATGACCAATGCTAACACATACCACTATTCTAAACAGCATACCCAACCCCAGTACAGTGAAACCTCCATAGCTGACCACCTCCCTACATTGACCACCTCCTTACGTTGGCCTAATTTTCATAGACCAGCATCTACCACATGTTCATATCAATACAGGAGGCCTAGTTTCTCATGCTGACCACCTCCATATGTTGGCCAATTTGTTACAATCCCTTGGGTAGTCAACTTACAGAAAGTCTGCTGTATTTCTGAGACATGCTGGGTACCAAAGAATTTCTTAATTGAAAATCCCTTCAGGGCCAACAAAGAGAGCGTGGCCTCCACTGCCTCTTGGTGTGGTGCTAATGGTGCTCTTCTCCCTCAGCTTTCATCTGCTGTTGGAGTCCATACTTCCTCTTTGACATTTTGGACAATTTCAGCCTCCTCCCAGACACCAAAGAGCGTTTCTATGCCTCTGTGATCATTCAGAACCTGCCAGCACTGAATAGCGCCATCAACCCTCTCGTCTACTGTGCCTTCAGCAGCTCCATCTGCTTCCCCTGGGGGTAAGAAGAGCCCTTGCATGGGTCAGACGCTCTGACAGCCAATGAACCTGGTTTCCAAAGTTTGGGTTCCTTGTTCTGAAACTCCCTGGCAGGTTGCAGTAACCCTTTTTAATAGATGAGACACTTGAGAGTCAGAAAGGTTCCACAAATTCAAACTCTGGCTCTGGCCAGAGCAAATGCTATTTTTCCTATATCATATCATGACATATTTGGAAGACCTTTCTTTTGTTCAGAACTTCTCCAGATGAATTGCTTCCGTGTAATTCTGTGGTGATAATAGGACATGGAGCATTATTACCATTTTTCAGGTAACAAAGCCTTATGAGGTTGAGTGACATTATTGAGATTATGTGAATATTTAGTAGCAGAGCTGAAATTAAATTCCTCCTACAACTACTGTCACTATGTTGTGTTTTAGCTGTGTTCTTGTGCAAGCTATAGAGCATAGTTAAAGATATCCAAGGAGATGGAATAGAACGGTTTAAGACTTAATGCTATTGGCTGAAGTTCAAGTCCTGCCATTGTTTATTCATAGTTATGTGTGACCGTGGACTAGTTATTTAGCCTCTATAAAACTCAGTTCCCTCATCTGTAAAATGGGGCTAATAGCAAGTGCCTACCTCTTGGCCGATGATGCCTCTGTCCTTACTTGGGTGCTGACCAGTGGTAAGGAAGGCTGTGAGTAGTGAAGGAAGGTTAGGGACCCCACGTGTCAAATGCTCAGCATAGTTGTCTGATCTGTAATGTATTCTCCATAACTATTACCTCCTAAGGTCTCTATCTCTTGTTTTCCCTCCCTGCTTTATCCTGACTTTCTCCAGGAAGCAAAGATCACAGGATTCCAGAATGACATTCCGAGAGAGAACAGAGAGGCACGAGATGCAGATTCTCTCTAAACCAGAGTTCATCTAGACCTGGGGCAGAGGCAGTGCTAGGCTGAGCCCCCTCAGCTCTCCTGAGTCCCTGTCACCAGCTTGGGCATGTGCATGAAAACTGAGCCAATGTCTCCACCCTGCCTTTTTCCTCACCTGTGGGATGTACAAACCAAATGTTCTAATGCATGTGTGTGGCCTCCATTGGCAAGTATTGTCCAACAGGAACTCACCAATTATTCATGCCCACCAGGAGAGACAGACCTCTGTCTCCACCATTCCCAGTCTTCCTTCCCACTGGTCAGAACCTGAACACAATGGACAGAGACATCACGGGCCCAGGATCCTGGCACGGATATACTGAGGACACAGGCAAGCAGAGAGCACAACATCACAACTAAAGAAGCAAATAAAAGACTTAACAAAGCCTAAGTATTTTCCACAGATTTGCACTAGAGGTTTGGTGGCTGTAGCCAAGAAGATGTTTGTCTTTAAAATGCCAACAAATTCATTTCTAGGCATTGGCACTTTGCATCTCCTCTGTAGATAGCCTTGGTTTGCAGATGGATGTGTTGGCAGCAGCCACACTCACACTCTCATTGTATCAACAAATGATTTGTGGAATGATTGCAACTATTGGGCTTCCAGAGCAATGTCAAAACGGAGGGAGGGACACTTTCTCTGATGAGAAGAAGGTTGTGCTAAAAAGATGCAGGCTCCTGACCTCGTGTCTCAGACAGTTAGGACCTGGAACTCATGTGTCTTCAAGGCTCTCTGAAAGCTCCTCTGAAGTCTCCTCCTTCTGTGTTCCACATTTGGGCCACTTTGGGCTCCACTCCTCACACCTCAGGGACAATTCCTCCCCCATGTAATGCCCTGAGCCCTGTCTTTGATTGAGAGCTGGGTTCCTGTGGCTTTTTCAGGCTTGATGTTTCTGTAAGCTCTTTATCACTTTTGCATGTTGCCTTTGTCTAACACTTCGACCGGGAAGTGCTGGTGGGGCTTATTTTGACAGGTCTGGAGTTTGGTATTTATAAGCATAATCCAAGTGAAATATGACTAAATGTTTTGTAGTCAATTTCTTCCATCAGATTTTTCCAGAAGTGGAAGTGGAATAATTTAATTTGATTATATATACATCCCCACCCACGGCTCTGGGATGCATGTGAGCACCTTATTTTTAGCTTCACATACATTCTTGACATTAAAATCTCCTTGGCAAAATCCTCCTTCCCAGAATTATTCATAGCTTAAATCTTTTTTTTTTTTTCTTGGCCTACTGCTAGTGGAGTCATTAAAATGTTCAGTATATTTTAATAGTACCCCATTCCTCATTATGATGTCAATTCACAGTCTACACGTTTAAGGTCATGTTGGCATTTTTTTTCATCAACTCTCTTTTCAATTCCATCTGACCTTAGGTAAAGTATCTCTTGAGGCAGAAATCAGACCCCTAAGTCACTATCTCTCAGAGAATTCTTCTCAGAATTTGAGGAGCCTAAATAATCTAGTTTCATGTCTATGGAAATTTTGAAGGCTTCCTCCCCTCTCTGTCCAATCAGCTAAACTTGAGCAACCCTGGAAGCTTTGAGCAGTCGAGAAATGCTTTTCAACATTTCACTTTAAATCAAGATGTGCCACAGAAGACCCATAAAATTGTTGCTAAAATAGCTGCCTGAACAGGAGCCAATTAACACAGCAAAATCTGGCGGGTGTCCTAGCCGGCAAAACAGGAGGACCAGGTTCTCTTGACAGATGCTTTCCATGTTTGTCAAGTCTGGTCTGCAAAAGACATGACATGCCTTTCTCATCTATCAGTAGATTCTAAAAGTTCAGGAGAGAGGTATGTGGGAATGCGATTGAGCTGTTGTTGAGACACTGTCTCTCACTCCCAAAGACTGGAGACGAGTAAGATAATGGGATGACTGCTGGATAAACTACAATTAAAATGAAACCCACTTTATGTTGGTGTGGATTATTTGTTGAGCTCAGAGAAGCACAATTTAAATGTCATGAGACCACTGGTAATTGCTAGTCTTGTGACCTGGGACAACTCATTCCATATCTCTGGCCATCGTTTGTCTCAACTGTAAGATGGAGACAAAATAAGGCTGGAGCAAAGGATCTTAGTAGTTTCTTACAAATACAGTCTCTGTGACTGTATCCAAAGTGCAAGAGCTTCTGAAATTCTTTCCCCAGGGTACTGATGACTCAGTGACTCAATGCTGAGTCATTTGCCCTTTAGAAGTGCAACTTCCCTACCTAACACTGTGAACTCAGAGAAACATCATTTTCCAAGAGGGAAATATAGTTTGAGCTCTCAGAAAAAATTAGAAGCTTAGTGCTGTCATGTCAATATTTGTAGTTTGTGATGCCCAAGCAAGGTCAGAAAAGTCAGAAGGATGGTTTGTAAAATAAATGTGCTTAATTTCTGCACCACAATGTCAAAGAGGTCCATGGTTACATTATCACATAGCTTCAGGAACAGGTGAAAATTCAGGATAACGAGAGTAGGTGTGTTTAATATATTTAGCTACACTATCAAAAATAAGTATGTCCACTTTGCTGAACTAAATTAAATATAAATGGTAAAAACTTTTCTATAATTTAATTGAAATTTAATTTCACCAAGCAACATCTCCTTCCTCTTTTCCCCAGAAAATAGTAACAACTTTTCTTCTTCTTTTTTTTGACTGGGCCAAGTTTGAACCCCCCCACCACCACCTCTGGTATAGGGGCCGGCGCCCTACTCCTTTGAGCCACAGGCACCACCAGGTAATACCTTTTTAATGACTTTCATCTGTGTTTAATGAGAAAAGTTTGCCTTTTATTTATTTATTTATTCATTTTATTTTTTGAGACAGAGTCTCACTTTGTCACCCTGGGTAGAGTGCTGTGGCTCATAGCTCACAGCAACCTCAAACTCATGGGCTCAAGTGAACCTTTTCCCTCAGCCTCCCAAGTAGCTGGGACTACAGTTACCTGCCACAGCACCTGGCTAGTTTTTCTGTTTTTAGTAGAGGTGGGATCTCACTCTTGCTCAAGCTGGTCTTGAACCCTGGCCTCAATCCATCTGAGCAATCCATCTGCCTCAGCCTCCCAGAGTGCTAGGATTATAGGTGTGAGCCACTGTCCCTGGCCTTTGTTTAGTTTTTCTATTTTTAGTAGAGACAGCAGTTTGCTCTTGCTCAGGCTGGTCTTAGGGTGACCAGACGTCCCACTTTTGGCGGGACAGTCCTGCTTTTCAATAATTTGTCCCATGTCCCTCAGCATTTTAAAAAAGTCCTGATTTTTGGAAAGAATGCACGAATGGGCAGGAGAACAAGAAGGGAATATACAGTTTTCTGCTGCCATGTGGCTATTTCACCAGAATATGAGCTTTATATTATTTTTGTTAATTTTATAATGTTAAACTGTAATAATAACAAATAATTGCTGAGAAGTGATTATTGAGAACTGCTTATCAAAGTTTGCATTGTTGTCAGGCCCTGCCCTGCCCCGTCCCCTACCCTGCCCCTGCCCCGCCTCCCCGGCCATGTTGTCCCGCCTTACCAATGTTAAAATCTGGTCACTCTAGCTGGTCTTGAACTCCTAAGTTCAAGCAATCCACCTGCCTCAGGGTCCCAGAGTGCTAGGGTTACAGGCGTGAGCCATGCCAACACTGAGCTTAAACATTCTTCCTTGCTTCACTCAGAAATCTCTGTCTACACATACACAGAAATCACCTTGCCTCTTCTTTCTGCGTTCATAGCATCAACTAAAAAAAGACCACAAACATAGGTCTGAGAAGAAAATGGGAAATGAAATATATTTTTAGCAGGAAATAAAGTGTTTCTGGTCTTTAAGAATTATCTTAGGTGAGCTACAGACCTGCTGGCAACTCCAATTTTTTTTTAACCATCCTTTGAATGTACAGTCATCTTATAGGCAGACCTACCAGTGCTCCCCACAGCTCTTCAATTGCATTTAATTGAAAGGAGATGGCCCTATTTAGGTGCCAATGCCAACCTCCTTACTTTTGGAAACCTGAAAGACCCATGCCTGATTTACCTGTAATTGCATTTTAAGAATGTATTGTCTGCAAAAAGGTTGGTCCAATTAACATTTTAACGTGCAATTCCAGGATTATAGTAGATGGGGTCTTGGATCATCACTCCCATGGTTTTCAGGCTGTTTGGGGACTCCCATAGTGTTCCAAGAAGGTGAATAACATTCAGTATTAATATTCATGCACACATTAGCACATAAATCTAGAGGCAACTATCAAATAAATCTAGTTAAATGGTTTCATGCTTCCTGAATTATTTTGCATGTGAATGTGGATTACGATTAGATGTTGATAAACCAAAAAGCATGTTCTAGTTTTAGGTAAATTGCTAAAAGAATATAAATAAATAAGTGTATAACTTCCAAACTAAACAAGGAGGAAAACTGAATGGCAAAATCACTCAAGCAATCCAAAAGAAGGCCAAAAAAAAAAAAAAAGAGAGAGAGAGAGAGAAATAGGGACATAGAACAATTGGGACAAATAGAAAACACAATAATAAGATAATAAATTCTTTACGCAAATACATCAGTAATAAATGCAAAGAGATTAAACAGTTGCATACCAATGGTGGAGGGCAGGGAGGTAGTCACAGACTCACCTCTTTGCTGGTTTCCTTATCAGTTGTCTGCCTTAACTTCTAGAGTGTGAAAACCACTTCCCTGGGGTCAGTTCCTATCCCCACCCTTTGGTATATGTACTATTTACTATTTACTATTTATTTGAAGTGCTATTTAGTACTTCAGTTAAGTGTCTGTGCATTTAAAAACATAGCCTCAAAATGTATACTTTAAAAATTTGTCAGAAGTATAAAAAAAAAATCTATAGCGATAGTGGGTGATATTCTCACACTTAATTTCAGTAATTAAAGCAGAAAAGTATGAATGGTCTGGATAATTTGAACAGCATGACTAACATAGGTAGAGCACCTTACCCTACCACCCCAGAATAGACTTTTACAGACCCGTAAGAAGCAGTTACAAAAGCTGACCATA